AAAAACCACTCCAGCTTTTTCCTTATAGCTGGTACCCTTCAAAACATTTTTTGGACTCAAATCGATATCCTTGGCTTCGATCGTACAGCGACTCCCTGATGTGGCTTATGGAGGGTACAACTGTTCTATCATCACTTGAACATATTCGAATGGATGGAGCTAGCAGTTCGGACAGCTATCTTAGCCTTCTTCGCCGATCACCACGTTTGAAATCTTTTCAAGCGAACTTTTGGCTCGAATCTTACAAAGATTCATCATCACCGATTTATACACACGATGTCCTTACCAATTTACATTTAAGATTAGGTTGGAAATTTCATATGTCAACAATCATATATTTGTTTCAGTCAACACCTCGAGTACGTAAACTTACTTTCACGGCATCCAAAAATCGTCATTATACAGTTGTCGATCCACATTGGTGGGAGAGTGTTTTGAGCAAGTACTTCCTGGAACTCAAGTGGCTCTGTTTACGACTATCTTCAGACACTAATCATACACCGCCTAATCCAGATTGGCCAGTCGATTTGGACGAGCACACAGTACGACAGCAAATCGAGGCATCTCCATATTGGCATGCTCACACTTGGAAGTTAAAGTATGAAAAGCAAATGCCCACGGCTGAACATAATTATCATTGGGCTGCGTTCTCAGTTAGCTAAACACATTTTCTTTTCGTATTTAACTTCTTAACCGTAATGAACGCGGATATTTGCCACAGCAATCTTAGTGGAAAAAATGAATACTACAATTCCTTAACTCTGATTTCTATGTACGCTCTGTATCGACTCTAACTTTTACCACTGATTGGAGCTCACTCTACCGGTTCTAATGTTTCATATCGATTATGGTCCTCTCTGTCAAGTATAACATTTATCATGTTCAATGTAAATTTCTATTTGTATATCATTCTTAAGTTAACTGTTGTTTCTTAACTAGTTGTACCACTTTTATTTTGTTTTTTATTGCCTCTAGACTATAGTAATAGATAATAACACATAGTAGGTTATATATGTATAAACTAATAAAGTTCTCTCAACAATTTTGACTACAAGTATACTTGGAGCATTGTAGACAAGACTTTCACTTTCGGACCTATTGCAATAGAATTACTTTTTTTGTGTAATATTATAATACTATTACTACTAATCTATGTATACAGAATGGAAAAACATATTTATCCGCAAAAGTTTTGTATTATCCTTAAATATCTTTGAATTTCTTCTAAATGTTAGTGTGCGAAAAGTTTATTATTTAGTTTCAAAAAAAAATTAATGGTGAAGAGGTTAACTGCGTATTGAGTCAGCTGTATATCTATTGTTAGATTTCTGACTTGAAAAAGAGACATTTTTCAAAGAAAGCTTCAGACTTAATTATATGGAATGGAATGATTCTGCTTGGATTTCTCATAGTTCAACAAAACAATCAATTGAATGAACCTGTGCTGTTCCAAAGAATCACTTTTTCTGGCAAAAGAAACAGTTCAACGGGTGTTAGGTGTAGGTCTGGGTGTGAGTGGGCGTTGGTGTTCGTATGGGTGAATTTCTTTTAGTTATCACTTTTCTTATCCAACAATGATACCCAAACCGACATCGACACCAATACCCAAACTCCACACCCACGCCCTAATACTTCTTCTATTTTTCTTTTAAGTATATTCAGTGAACTCAATAGATTAACTTTAATGTTTGTAGATGATTTTGCCTTGTTTAAATAATAATCCAAACTATGACATCATAAAGACTATTGAGTCTGAAAGCACATCAAAGTCATAGTTTTGCAAACGTCTTTCGAAGCATTTGTTTTTTATTTTCATTAACTAAACGAACAAATTCGAAATCGCTGTTTTTTATATTTTGTGGCCATTTCGAAAAGCTGTGATAAAAGTAAGAGTTGCAGATGGCTTTAGAAGCAATTACAACAATGCAGAAAAATAAAGCAGAAGCAACAATTTTAGTAGAATTTTTCTCCCCTCTCAATT